AATGTGATTGGTTGTTGGTCTAGCTTCAGACACGCCCGCCGGCAAGCTTTTTTTGAAGCTGTAGTGTGGACGGGCCGTTACAGTAAGCCTCTTTTTCGCTGGATAGAAAAACACCACATTTTCATAACAAACGGCTTTTTGTCGTCAGTGGACGTTGCACTAAATGCTCCCAAATCATGCTGTCTTACAAACAAAAAGGAACCAATAATCTTTTAGACGCCTTAGTGGAAAGAGTGCAGTGAAACGAATCTCAAAGTCGGAGGTACTTCTTGTCAAAAAACATTGGAATCACTTTCTAAATGCTAAAATCTGGTTTTAAAGGCATTTGAAAGTGAATTTTCTCTAGATTAAACATATATTTAAAAACTTTCCTGCATCTGTGTTAATGGCAAAATATGTTGCTATAAAATGAAATATAGTAATGGTGTATGTTACCTCATGCTTCATATGTTCTCAGTTTCCTTTACATATTAAAAACGGCTGCACAGCTAAAGTACAATTGTGTGTTCGCTTGTCAAAGAAACATCAGTTTGTCAAGGTCGGCCATCTTGTTTTCTTTACTTTTTGCCATTGTTCACCTGGAACGCTTTGAGGATAAATTGGACATTTCCTCTGCGAAGATCAAAGCTTCGGCTTTTAACAAACCATGGCATTATGTGTGTTGAGCTAATATCCACAAATATAATGTTGTTATGTTAATGAGCATCTTGGGTGAATCTAGCTGTAGTTTTTCATTGTGTATCCCTCTCACACTATGCTATCCCTTCTTTTACGGCAGTACATGATTAGTACTTCTTTTGCCACTCTATTTGATTTGATTTTGAATTTACGTGTACCTTTGTACATTTTCCGTCCCATGACTGGTTTGTTTTTCATCGTTTTGCATCCGTCTCTCGATGTGAGCCACTCAGAGATGTGACGTAAATCAAACGTGGTGGTGCCAGGCTCAGCGGGGGGAAACAACATCCTGTGTTCTGGCTTTTATGCAGCAGTGAGGATGAAAGTAGGAGTGAGTCAGCGCGTTGTGGCACCCTTGGGTGAAGCCCAGAGTAAATAAGTCCACTGTGAAACACTGGCAGGGGTCAGGAGAGCACGGATGCGGACAGCCTGTGTTTTGATGAAAATACGAGACCTCACCACCTCGTCTTTTTGGTCTGCCTCAGATTTATAAGACCCAGTGATACCCCTTTCTCTTCTGCCACGCTTTAACGTTGGCTACCTCTCTCAGGATAATGGATCTCAGCATGTGGCCGGCTGATTTTATTCATGTCCTCAGACAGTCTGGGGTCTCACTGAGACATTGTACAATTTAAGCTGTTTTTCCCCAAGCCCAATCACTTGATTTCCATTTTTTAATTGGAAACTGCTCTTGTTTTTTTTTAGAATCGTGGTGGTGGGGTGATCTTTTTAAAACCTCTTATGGCGTATTTGGCCTAAAAATAGGGACATTTTCGGGTTGAGCCTCAAGAACAAAGTCGTTTTCAAACTTTTGAATTTGCATGACATACCAATCAGTCTCGTTTCATGTGTCTTAATGGGTACCACTTTACAACAAGACTACCCTTATAAAAGAGTTTACGAATAGTTTTAATTAATTAATTAGGTTGTGAACACTTTATAAGACATGAATAAGCTTTTATAAGACATGAGATAAACAGGGCAACTGTGACCGGTTGCTTGCCAAATAGTGAGCCCATATGTATCTGTACTGCTAAGCCTTATTATAAATGGTAGTAACTCATTAATACATGGTGATTTGTTTCACACTTTACAATAAGGCTCCCCTTTGGCAGTTCTAAATGTTAGTGCTGTAGCGACTTCAAAATATCGTCGACGACATATTTCCTCGTCGACGCATCGCCACACACACGTGGGTCACCCAAAACAACAACAAGCAGTTCGCAATCGCACTTTAAACACTATGGAGACTGAAACGGCTACCACCTCCTCCTCACTGCGCACGAAGCCCTGCAAAAAGCCCCCAAAACAAAAACATCTCGTCCTAGGTCTTTCAAATTGAATATATTGAAATCTCCAATATCAACGTAAGAGCTTGTTCGGGGGGTGCTAACACTTAACCATAAACTTTATTGTTTACTTTCTCCGTCTTTATATGTAGATATTACTTTTCTCCGTTAATCTCCGTCACGTTGTTTCCATAGCAACAACAACTTCCTGTCAACAGCGCTACCCTCTCCTTCAAAATAAAAGCATATTCATAAATAGGAACAGCCCTAGTGTGTTGTGCAGCTTGAGTTCTGTGCACTTCGGTAGTGCTAACTATCTTATAGCTCTCCGTGCGGTTTGTTCGTGCTTGGTTGGTTAGTAGGTAATGTTAGCTACCTACACCGTAAAAAAAAAAAAACGTCAAAAAACAGACAAATTGCTGGTAATTTGCTGCCAGGACATTCTCCGTTATTCTACAGACACTTCCGTCAACCCTTTAACGGATATTTCTGTAGATTTACAAGACTTTGTCTGTACAATATACGGACACTTCCGTCAACCCTTTAACGGATATTTCTGTAGATTTACAAGACTTTTTCTGTACCATATACGGACACTTCCGTCAACCCTTTAACGGATATTTCTGTAGATTTACAAGACTTTGTCTGTACCATATACGTACACTTCCGTCAACCCTTTAACGGATATTTCTGTAGATTTACAGGACTTTGTCTGTACCATATACGGACACTTCCGTCAACCCTTTAACGGATATTTCTGTAGATTTACAAGACTTTGTCTGTACCATATACGGACACTTCCGTCAACCCTTTAACGGATATTTCTGTAGATTTACAAGACTTTGTCTGTACCATATACGGACACTTCCGTCAACCCTTTAACGGATATTTCCGTATTTTAACAGTCCTTAGTATGTACTATTTACAGATACCTCCGTCAATCCTAATATGTTTTATTTTATTTATTTTTTTATCGTGGGATAAAAAATATATATATATCCTAATCCTAAATAAATAACAATCATTACACTTTCAAGCAAACTGAATAAAGCACAATATATAGAAATTGAAAAAAATGTATTTTTTTCCATAAAAGTGCATTCATTTCCTTTTTGCTAATGTATAAAGTGCATTTAATGATGAAATGAAAAAACAGAACCTTTCTCCCACTGCTGTTGCACCCTACTGGCTCACCTGTCAGTGAGGAATGAGGAGCCCCCTCCAGGAGGATGTAGCGACTCCGTCCTACACCTCCCACTCAACATTCCCCACTGACAGGCGCTATCCCAACCTGTACGAGAACATGCAGTGACAAATTTAAAAAAAAGTAAACTTTTTTTTTTTGAAGTGTTCAGTCCAAAAGTCCAGTCCAAAAAGTTCTGTTTTGAGCTTGGAGGAAAGCTCACATGTGCCAGTCAAATTCCTTCAGCTCAGTCACGAGCTTCGACAGTTTTGGAGGAATGTGGTGCTGTTTCTTCCCCTTCATCTCAGCCTTGGACCCTCGGTCAGGAATCATTCCTAAGAAAACTCTAAGGAAACAGAAATATGTTTATGCATTTTGTGACAAAAAAATATATAATTTACATTAGCCGTCAAAAATGGCCGGCGAGTCTGTTGTAAACAGTTCTGTCCGGGTAGATTGTTTCAATGACAGTGGGACCTCTGTCTGGTCCCTCTGAACACGTTCTGGATCACCACTCCTCGTGGTGGTAATAGGTTTGCATTTGAGAATACAAACATTATGCACCTTTTCAATATGAATGAACAAAACTATTATTTTGTGCTGACAAACTAGGCTATATAGTGTATTTAGTGACTTTTCCTGTCATAATCACCACTGTGACATAGCCTACAGCAGGGGTTCCCAAAGTGGGGGTCGCGAGATGATTACAAAAAATAAAAATGGAAAATTAATAAAAAAGAAAATTATAAAAAAGAATTGATAAAAAAAAATGTATAATAAAAAAAAAATATATATTATTAATAATAACGTTTGCAGTACTAGCGCAGTGTTTCTCAAACTTTTTCTTCTTTTTTTCTGAAATTAATTCACTAGCACCGCCCCCTGAAGTTATATGAAAGAGCATGGGCCTTCAGCAGGAAGCTGCAAAATGTGCTGCCTCTGTTATAGGAACATTTATTAAGTATTGAGGGTTCAAGTGATTATATGTTTGATAATACACATTAACATGGTGCAAATGTACACGTTACACAACAAGTATTAACATTGGGGCATGAATCCTGGTATGGATTTTGTTGTATTAGTCACAAAAGCAGCTCACATAGAATAGCCTAAATGTGTGTCTTTGGTTAAAGAGATAGCTCAGAGATAGTTGTTAGGAATATTGTACATGTTTTCCTAATCACCCAGTGTCAGAGCCTAATAAATGCCAAATGCCTTAGGACAGACCTTTTTTGTGTACTTGGTGTAGTCTGAAGTTATATGAAAGAGCATGGGCCTTCAACAGGAAGCTGCAAAATGTGCTGCCTGTGTTATAGGAAAATGTATTAAGTATTGAGGGTTTAAGTGATTATATGTTTGATAATACACATTAACATGAAACAAACAATAGAAAAGATCATGTGTAAGCAAACAAACTTTACACAACACTGGTGATAGTGCTGTCAAACAGGTCTATGAACTCTATGAAAAAGTTGAATCTGCATTTGGGTCCCTGGTTCATCTCTCTCAGCTAAGGGGTCCTTGGACTGAACAACATTGAAGACCCCTGTCAAAGAGCAATGGCTATCTTGGCTCGATTGTAGAGTGTCAATGGGATCAAAACATATAATATATATTATATTTAATAATCATGATCCCATAAGCATCCTGGAATTGAGCACAACTATGCTAGTAATCTAAGGGACGATGAGTGGATACCTTTTTACATGCTTTGTCTGGTGGGAAGCCCCAGTCTCAGAATTTGAATACCCAGCTTAATACATTCAAAACAATGAGCTGCTTACCTTTGCATGAATTCAGGGTAAGAGACATCTCCTTTGGATATTCAATTGTTGCAGACATAAAACAAGCAGAAAAGCATAGCTCAGGGCCACAATGGGGAAGGTGATGTGGTCATTCACCAACTTCCTGATCAACAGCAATCTGGATAGATGGTCACCTTAAACATAGATCACAAAAAACAGTATGTATTGTAATTTTAAAAAATAATAACGTACACGTGCCAATCTTCCATACTCAGTCCAACACAGGTTATGGTAAGAACAAGCAACAAATACTTTGAAAAGGTATTCTGCATTTAGTTTGTCAGACTTTACATACAAGTGTACTTACATTTAAAGATTTTGGCCCTAAATCAACATAGTTCTGAGCACCATTTACAAAACAAATCAACCAACTCTATACCTTTTTCATCACAACAAAATCGTCTCATCAGTAAACCTAAGAACAAATGGAGAACATATCTCCAAGCTTGCTGGGATTCAAAAATGATTCAACTACAAACCTCTGATTAGGATGCATTGGGGTACAGGGGAGGCTGAGTTCAGCATCTGCGGAGTCCTGTTTTCGGAAAATAAAACAACAAAGATACACATATGAATGTGTTGATTTTATGTTTCCAATGTATCGCAACATCGACAGTCATCGGCAGGCAAATAGGACATTGCCGAAGGCGTCTTATCACCGAGGCAACCATAACAATAATGGTTAATAGTACGTTATTAAAAAATATTGTTATCACAAACATAATCGATAATGTTAGAATCAGAATCCTTCTGTCAGGGGGGGAAAGTCTGTCCTTACAAGACCTATTCTATTTAGGTAAGCATTTGGCCTCAAGACAGAGGAGCTCTACCGGGATAGAAATAAGTGTATAATTATATGAGGGATTCTTACTCGGTCGGCAAATAGAATCAAGGATTTTACTGATTTCACTTTTAAATCTTCGTTCCAGTGGGAGATAGGTCGTCACCATGTGAGTTACCAATTTCGGATCTATCAGCAGCGCTAAGTGGGGTTTAAAACATACATAAAATGTACCTCATTTTTGCAGAAATGGTGATCAAGGGTTTTCCTTCAAAGTATCTCACAATTGCCACAGATCAGCTGTACTGGACCCTTCATCCATCGTCATCCCTTTGGTGTCAAGGAAGTTGTTGATGCACCGTTTCTTTTTTGGAAAGTCTCCTTTGTGCCAGCTATGTTTTGTACCGAAAAGCCAAGAGTCTAGAGCAAATAATCAGACAGATTGAGTCAGCTATCGATGAATAGAATGGCCACTCTTCGTTTAGAACCTATCATTGGTTCCGTCCGAGCTCGAATGGTTTCACGATGCACATAAGGAATATGTTCAGCCATCAGTTTTCGAACAGATGACTTGCTAAAGATATGAGGACAACAGTTAATTCAAACTAATAAATTCAATCAATTGGTAATAAAAAAATTACTCCAAGTATACAATACGACATAATCAATTCGGGTGAAAATAGCTTGATCATACAAGCCACAACGAGTCCCTTGTGCAACTTGTAGATCAAGGTATTTTTTGTTAGGTTATACAAAACAATTTGAATGATATACCAAAATAAATCAACCAAATCTTACCTCTACACGTCTATCAATCAAAAAGTAATCCTACATACACATAGAACATACATGATGGTTGGAGCCTACCTGAGGATCATGGGTTTTCGAAGCACTTTTCAATTAATTTCGCGTTCTTGACCACCCCCGCTCGCTCTACTCTCAGTTCCTTGACAGCACATCCCGACTCCAACATCATAACGATCGGAATTTCGATTGTTTCTGTCCGCTGAACTTTCACTTCTCCCCCAACCCCCCCTCTGTGCTGTCCGCCTCTTTCCCCCCTGGGTTGATAGCCTCTCTAATATGTTCAACTCTGTTTCTAAGCTGGGGTAAACGAGAGGACCACAACCATCTTTTGCGACGGACAATATTTCCAAGGGCTCTGTCTGTTCTTGAAAGACAGAGGAATATTGGTCCTAGAACAATGGTCCTTCGGCGACTTTCCATCAGCTTGGAGTCTACCCAGGTCCTTCAGGGTGTTTACTGGAGGTACATCACCAACAACTATGCCGAACCATCTGTAAGCTTTCTTTCGACCTTACCCCATTTCCTTTTCACCGCAACACATCCATGAGCTTTGAGGGCTTTTGTCGCCATGGTATCGGAAGATATGGCTCACAGGATGGGAGTGGGCAGATGGTATGGCAGGTGTGCCTCAGGTGGTGTCTCTGGGGATCAGACTCATCACTCTGTGGCAGATGATGTAGATGTAGGCCAGGGCCAGGCGCTTCGAACTGTGGCGTGGCAGCTTGTGCAATCTAAGTGTGACATACCCCATAAACTTAACCACATCACCAATGCTACTAATTAATGCTAATACACTGCGGCTTTGATTAATGTCCCGTTGGAAAACACCAGGGGTACAAAATGACCCTTAAGGGTCTGTGAAGTTTGGGTAGCTGTGAACAGTATAACAGGGTTGGGCAATAGTATGAGTATATCATCATGAGATTTATTGAATAGGGATTTTGGGTTCATAGTGTGATCACCTGTTGTGGTGTTTCCTGACTTTTAAAGAAATGAACTGAACTTACCCCAACTGTTGAACATTCAATAGTCCAGTAAATACATAATGGTGATATTCTGGATTTTGTCGGTGTTGTCACCCCTCAGTACTGTGCAGGATTAGGGTTACAAATAAAAAAAACTTACCTCCTTGGAACTGTTAACAGTCTTCTGCACTGAATCGAGTGGCAAGTGTCGCCTGAATGTACCGGGCCTCCACAAGATCCAGTCATCTTCACATTGAACTCCTAATCCACAGCTAGCCATGAGTGGAT